TAAGAGCAACAAAATCCGGATTGCGGCAACTAATTAAGCACATAATTAGACACTAAATTAATTGATAGGTGCGACTTGATTTGGCGATGGTGGGGGGGTCCGAACTTAATGGGGGTTAAAGTAGGCTATTCAGAAGCGACGGGATCCCGGGGTCCGTCCCTTTATCTGCGTTGGCTTGCGTGCGGATTGACCGTGCGAGCGCGCACGTGCACTTCGCGACACGCGTTGGCCACCTTGCAGTTTCATCGCCGCCCTTTGTCCCGGCCCGCTTTCGTTTGCGCTCGTAATTCCGCGCAATCCCTTCCGTTGCGAAATACGATCGAGGCGTTTTGCCGGGAGCGATTCGCTGATGCCTGACTCCGTTAAAAGCAAAACCCGAATGTTAAGCGAAAAAAAGTGTATATTCCGGTGCATTGATGCGTTCGTACTATGCGCTTGCATACGACGATCAAGTTTCTTCGCGTTATTTCGGCGACATACCTTTTCGCTTACATAACTCATTGACGGTTCAACGCTCGCTCCATCATCTTCGCGAGAGACAAAAGGAATTGGTTGAGCCGTGAGGCATCTCTCAGAATGCAAGCGCATTAAACTTCATTGATGCACCTGACTGTACAGTAATATCACAGTTGCATGTTTGTGTTGCCTTCACCGCCGCTATTAAGTAAAAATAGCATGCCAATCTGAAGTACTAACAATAACCGTAATTATTTGTAATTGTGCGATGCGATGACGCGAGATAGTTATAATTGCTATTTTTTTTCAATAAATTGATTACTTAACAATTTTGCATACGTATTCGACTCGAGATGGAGGATAATATATATGTACATGCTAAAGATATGGCGCTGTTTAATTATCTCTTCATTTCGTTATCGTAACTCTGTAAATAGAGCTCTTTTCTTTTTTTGTCTCATTGTCAGAGTGTTTGACTTTCAAGTACGGATTATCTGTAAGAAAGGTTCAGTTTCTTTTCTTGCGCTACAATTTTTCTCGTACTTTTCTTAAATTAGTTTGCTTTAATTAGTGTTTGCTTTTTATTCTTCGCAAAAATATATTGTGTTATTAATTATAATATATTTTCCAATCCAATCATATATTTAAAATAATTATAAAATAATATAAAATAATTATTATTTAATACTTGAGTAGGCTATATGCAAAAGCAGCTATATTCAAAAATATAAAAAAATTTTATTAAAAAACCAGTTAAGTGAATTGTATTTTAATAAATAGAAATTGTATTTTTCATACCATATTATACACATTTTGTTAACTAAAACAATGAACTTTTCGTAATTTTTCAAAAAAAGATCTTGTTAATTAGCTTATATGGAAAAAATTATATAAGTTTTTTCGCTCTCAACAAAAAAAATTTCAAGCGGATTTAACGACTTTTATCGTTTATTTTTGTAGCCCAATGGGCTACTTATTTACAAAAATAAAACCCAGAGATAATATTTAAAATATATTAGTAAATTAAGTTTGTGTATATAAAAAGAATGAAATATTGTATAATATTTAAGTACATAATAATTAATACAATGTAGGTTATATAATGCGAGGTAATTTACAATTAGATTAATCCTTAATGATTTTAATTTGATTGTTACAGCGCTGAGGAAATTTTTAATTAATTTTACAAATTTCTGAATTTCTTATTTAAACAATACGAAAAGATGAGAAAAATATTACTCTGATAGAGAAAACAATCTTCAGTAATGAGTAACTCTTATTATAAATCATCGCGAAACATTTACCTTATATGCAATTCTACGTTTGCATTATTTAAGTTAATACGTTTTTAATTGTTACTTTTAATTGTTAATTGTAAATACATTAGATTGAGGATTCTTACAACTCACCGCGTTCCATAACAATGCTCTACATTGCTCACGCATTACACGCACGTAGATTGTACGCATTGCCTTAAGTTAATACGTTTAAGTTAGTACTTTAAGTTAATACGTTTTTAATTGTTACTTTTAATTGTTAATTGTAAATACATTAGATTGAGGATTCTTACAACTCACCGCGTTCCACAACAATGCTCTACATTGCTCACGCATTACACGCACGTAGATTGTACGCATTGCTTTACGTGCGCACCATTCGCGCGACCGCCCGTAGCTCGTTATGAATGAAACCTTCACATCTCACGGCATCGCCTCGTCCTGTCTCGTCTCGCTTCGTCTCGCTTGGTTGCCATTAAGACGTTATACCTTCCTGCACGATGAAATAATTATCACAATTTGCATAATAATTTGCAACTGTCGGTATCGGTCTTAGATATGTGGCACACATGTGGAAACTTCTTCGTTAGCGAAAGAAAGAAACATGGGAATTATAAATTACGATGAATATTGATCAGTTGTTGGAAATATAACTTTTCATTCTTGCTCATTTAAGAAGGCAACACAAAATAATCACGCAATCGAAGTAAAACATATCAATTAAATATATTATTCTTAAGCAAATAACAAATTTTTTTAATTAAATTTTTTTTACTTTTTTTTTATTTGAACACATTTACATAATTGTCATTCAAAAAGTCTACACATGCACAAGTAAAATTATTAATAGAACAACAAATAAACACTTTACTGATGCTTGTCAGTTGATGATGCCTCTTTGAAGCTTGCCGACAGAAAACATTTGTCGACGACAATATTACCAGTCCACCTTTCGACGACACAGTTGCACTGCATTTAAACATTAATTATTGATCACAGCTTGGCAACGCAGGTTGCCAGAGAACGCACGCTGCGCCGAAATGTGGACTATGATTTTACAAGCTCTGGCAACGTATGCAACGTATTTTTAGTTAGACCTGTGATTCATAAAGACAATAATATCGTCCATCATTGTGAAGTGTAAAATAAGTTACACATTCAATTTTACTCGTTGCTAATTCTAGTCACTGAAAACGACTATTATTCTTCGAATAATACGCGATATATTGTCGCGACTAAACTGATGACGCAGATGCTACATTAGGAAAGTGTTTCTTTGTATTTCTTTTTCTTCGAGCAAATCGTATTGCGAGATCATTCATGGAAGAGACGATCTTCGTTTATCACGATATCATTCTGCGAAGAGGGGTACTAAGATAATTTACATATTAGAGAGACACGGGTCATCCCTCTGCGGCGAAAGTGTTTCAACAAGGCAGAGACTTCTCTCGTGATACCCAACTACGCATCGGAGATTGAAAATTGCAAATTGGAAATTGGATTTCGACCAAACAGGAGCTTGGGCCAAGATTGAAATTACCCGGTTGGACGAATTCTAATCTCCGAGCCACAATTAATTCCGATGCGATGCGTAGTTCGATGTGTCTCCGTGTAATTCGTGCGAATCGTTCGCGCGAATAATAGCGGAGGTGCGCGATGTCACGTCTTCTCCCGTTTATTCCGATGGCAGCTGGGCGGCAAGTCGGATATTTTTAGCGTCCGCCGTTGAAATCGAGCGCATCGACATTCTGTTGCGCTTGTTTCAACGACAATGCGACGATTAACGAAACCGAGGGAGAGCAAGCGACTTCGCGGTTTAATGCCCAGACTTGCTGCATGTTAATGTTAGCGGCCACGTTGCGTGTCACTTGGCACCGAAGCACGCATCTGCTCCTTGAAAATCACGTTACGCTGATTTCTCGGTGTCGATTTTTACTAAATTTACTCTCTGCAGTTCTAAATTTAGGTGAATTCGATATACGATTCTTCGCACGGTTATTTAAATACTCGGTGCAGCGCATGATTGTAATCATGCATTTTACATGGAAAATTTGCATTTTAGATGGAAAATTTCTCAAATAATAAATTGATTGTTATATCTCGGGCTACACTGGTAAAATTAAACCGATAGAACGAAACACCAGTATTGAATTACCTGTGAAAATTAATTTGAATTACAAAAGTTAATTATTAACAATTGATATATGAAATAATTTTTGCTAATATGGATTCTGCAATATTATAATAATAATTAAATTCGCGCGATTTTCTTTTTTACAATAAATTTAGCAAGCTATCGCTCGTTTACGTTATACGTACAATTAATGTGGCAATATCTCTGTTATGTTGTTAATTCGGTTGCAATATGATTTTGTCTCTTCACTGTTGCAGTGTGCCAAAGTATAGATATAAGAAATAGCGTAAATGAATTGTCAAAGCTGGAAGGATGCCGAGTGGTCGAAGGCTTCGTACAAATTCTCTTGATCGACCGAGCAGAGCCATCCAACTACACGGACCATGTCTACCCCGAACTGGTTGAAATCACTGGATATCTTATTTTATACAGGTATAAATCAGGCGAAACTTGATATTGTATTTATAAGTTCGGAATTATGTTTCCGTGAGATGTCGTAAGTCAACGCGACGTGCTTTCAATGCAATAATTATCCGCATACTTTAGCCTTACATTCCGGTTTGCACGGCTATGCTTCCAGAGTAAATGGTTTGAGGAGCATCGGTCATATATTTCCGAACCTGACAGTAATTCGCGGGCACTCTCTCTTTATCAATTACGCTCTCGTGGCATTTGAAATGATGCACCTGCAAGAAATTGGCCTCCATTCTCTTACCAATATTCTACGCGGATCCGTGCGGTTCGAGAAGAATCCGACGCTCTGCTACGTCAACAGCATCGATTGGGACATCATCGCCAAGGCTGGCAAGGGGGAGCATGTCATATCGGTAAATATCACAAGTATTTCTTTTATCCCGACGTAACGCATAAATTGCTCGTTAATTAAGCAAAGTCTGACGGCCTAAATAAGTTTGTCCGTAAGCTCTAAAACCGGAACTCTCGACAATGCCACTTTGCCCCTCATTGATGTCATTTAGCAGGCAACTAGCGTCTCCGACTTCGTTCATATACTATATTTACGCGAATCAGTAATCGCTGTCAGCGACTAATGAAGCGTTAAAACGTACGGCAGTCTACTGAGCGTCGCACAGTTCTTCCGAAAAGACCTGCACGGACATGCCTTTCCGCCACAACATTTCGTCTGAATAGGAGTATTGCAACGCGCGCGATTTGTCACGCTTCACGACGCGCAGCGACACGACGCGCGGCAGTCTCTCTTATCGCGGAATTGTCAGGGGACAAGGAATTCTAAAGCAGAAGCGTCTGAAAATTGCTTCATTTATTCTTACAACGTATGCGCACTGCGCGAATTGCCGTAACGCGTACCGTGGTAATGCGCGTAACGCAGCTATGAAAAATGATTTACGTACCGGTCGTGCGACGCTTTATAATAAAACAATGTACATATCTTCTAAGCCGATTAAATTCACCGTACTGCATGAATAAAATCGCACAATTCTAGAATTAAATCTGTATTTTCAGGGGGAAAAAATGGAGATTGTTAAAAAATCGTGAAAAAGTTTATAAGTCATATAATATTCATCTTTTTGAAAACAGGTTTTTAATATAAGGTTAAATATAACAGGTTTTTAATATAAGACTTAATATAACAGGTTTTTAACATAATTTATAAATCTTATATAGAAGTAAAACCCTTCTACTGAGCTTTGTATGTTTCGCGTTTTGACTTATTCTCGTGTAAACAGTGTCGAATGTCTCGCGAAAAGCGTATTGTCCAGAGAGTCGACAGCGGCACGGATCGTCGAATACGAGCCTTTTGCAATCTGTTTTTCGACCTTCATATTAACGTAGCCGATGGCGTAGTCTTGTTTCTTATCTTGCTTTCCTGCACATAGTTTCGTACATTGGCAAAAGAATTTCGTACGCTTTGTTAAATGAGAAACGGGCTCATTTTACTTTGTCGAGATGCAAGATTGCAATTTTACTCGTAAGTCTTGGTATGTCACTCGAAACAAAAATACACAATAGAAAGTCGAAAAGAATAATAATAAGAAGGTGTCTTATTAGATATTCCGATAAAATATATTTATATGCAAAAATATGTTATTATTGAATATATTTTTTTGTCTCGATTTAAATAACGCATTTAAGATTCATCTCGAAAACAGTAAACATTTTTGCTTTTATTGCGTGCAAAGCTTTTAATCGCACATTAAGGATGCACGTGACAAATATATTGAAAAGGTGCCAAAAATAAATATTTGAGAAATTTTGAGAGAAATCACAAGGGAAAGTGTGCGAGAACGAGCGATTGTGTAGCGCCACACGCATTCGCATTTTGTTTACAGGGTAACAAGCCAACAAACGGTTGTCCGATATGCGACAGAAATTGCCCAAAGAAGCAAACGAAACGCGATGAGACTCTGTGCTGGAATCGACTACACTGTCAGCGAAGTAAGTTATTGCGACTAATTGCTTTTGCTCGCGTGTATATCAGTGCTTTTTTAATAGAGCGAGAAGCGATATTAAATTTAATGTTAATTAAATCCCGTTTATAATTGTACAATTCATCGTTCACGTAATTGATTCTTCAAGCTTTAAGCTTGGAAAATGGAAATAACAGTTCTTTCTGCACAATTGCAAATCTCATCATTTAACTCGCGAAAGAAGCGGTAGGCTTAGTTCCTAATTTTCGAACGAAATTGTCTGTTTTTACATAGTATGCGATCCGAAGTGCGGGGATGGCGCTTGCGACGATACGGGAGCGTGCTGTCATTCGTCCTGTCTAGGCGGATGCACAGGACCGACGGTCAACGATTGCATCGTCTGCAGGAACGTGGTAATTAACGGTACTGAATGCAAGGATCGCTGTTTAAACGGTACTTACGAGTTTATGAATCGGCGCTGCATCGGAGAGCAGGAATGTCGCAGAATGCCGAAGCCGCGCGAGGCGTCTGACACCGTGAAAAAGTACCCGTACAAGCTATTTAACAATACCTGCGTGATCGAGTGCCCGGCGGGTTACATGGAGACAGAAGGGAACGACCCGTCCTGCCGGAAGTGCAACGGTCAATGTCTGAAGGAGTGCCCCGGTTCGAACGTCGACAGCATCGCCTCGGCGCAGAAACTGCGCGGATGCACGCACATCCAGGGTAGTCTCGAGATACAGATACGCGGCGGCAAGAACATCGTGAAGGAGCTCGAAGATAGTCTGAGTATGATCGAGGAGATAGACGGTTATCTGAAGATCGTACGCAGCTTCCCGCTGATATCCCTCAACTTCCTGAAGAACCTGCGCGTGATACGCGGCAACACTCTCGAAAACCACAAGTACAGTCTTGCCGTGTTCGACAATCAGAATCTTCAGGAGCTCTGGGACTGGGAAACGCATCCGAACCTCACCATTCTGTCGCCGGCGGGTCCCGCCAAGCTCTTCTTCCACTTCAACCCGAAGTTGTGCCTGCAGAAAATCGAAATATTGCGAGACAAGGCCAAATTGGAAGATTTTAACGATCACGATGTGGCGTCGAGCAGCAACGGTGACAAGGTCGCGTGCAACGTCACCCAGCTGAAGACGAAGGTTATCAAGAAGACATCCAGAGGTGCCATTATCGAGTGGGAGGCTTATACGCATCACGACACCAGATCTCTTTTGGGCTACGTTGTTTATTTTATCGAGGCGCCTAACCGGAACGTGACGATGTACGACGGCCGCGACGCTTGCGGCGGTGATGGCTGGCGAGTGGAAGACATCTCCGCTGATAGCGTGATGCCGCAGTCTCCGAACAGCACCGATAGACATCCCGAACCTTTCTCTCACATACTGACCCTACTGAAGCCGTATACCCAGTATGCTTACTATGTGAAGACTTACACTATAGCCACGGAGAGATCGGGCGCGCAGAGTAAGCTCGAATATTTTACTACACTGCCGGACGCACCTAGCCCGCCCAGAGCCCTGTCGATCTGGAGTAATTCCAGCAGCGAGATGGTTATGTCTTGGCTTCCGCCGCTCCACAAAAATGGGAATTTGACGGAATATCGTATCATCGGTCGCTTGGAACCGGACGACCCGAATTTCATCGATCAAAGGGACTACTGCGAAGAACGTAATTTGAGCCGCTTTATATAAATTCAATATAACGAAATTCTCACCACGCCCAATATTTACGAGAATATTGTTGTTACGGATGTAATAATTATTATAATATATAATTGTAACATTCTATAATGGAAAATAATAATTTCAGCTTTAACATTGCCCGAGAAGAAACCAATATCTGTCATGGCCGAGGAAGAAAGAAAACGCGCCGAGGAAGAGAAGGAGTTGGCGAAATCACCTGAGACCACTTCGTGCATCTGTGCTGACCGCGAAATGGCAGATCAATCGATCCGTGAAAAAGAAGTTTCCAGTTCGATCGCTTTTGAAAACGCCTTGCACAATCAGGTCTACGTCAAACGAATGATGAACGCGCGCCGAAGACGCGACACTAGCGAAATGCTAGTTGCGGCAAGTCTAGGTCAAATCAGCGAGGTAAGAGTAGCGAAAATTTCATTGTTAAATAAAAAATAAAATAAAATTATTTACAAGCGAATATAAAAAGAGTAATAATTTGCGTTTTAATTTTAATTGGTAAGTGGATTTTAATCAATAAGCGATATTTGGAAAGCCATTGTATTTTGTATCACGTGTAGACTCTGATTGAAATTTATGACATTTATGGTAGAAATTTATCAATACGGACTAATTGATAATAATTTGATCGATTGCGCTAAATAGCGCTCACGTGTTGTTTCGCAAAAACTGATTAATCTTGATATTTCATGTTTAGGAGAAGGAGAAGGATGCTACGAAAGTAGTGAATGGCACAGTCATAATGTTCGACAAAAGAGTACCATTTACGAATCTTACTTTGGTCATGAGAAACCTTCGACACTTTGCCGCGTACAATATCGAGATTCAAGCATGCAGAGAACGAGTTGGAAACGAGACGAAAAAAAAGAATTGCTCGACGAAGAGCATGAAAACGTATCGTACGTTTGCTATGGAGAGCGCAGATAATATTCCACTCAACACTTTCCGGCTGTCTATTTCTGGCGAAAATAATAATAGTCTTACTGCGGTTACATTGTATTGGGACGAGCCGCCTCAACCGAATGGCCTAATTGTCGCGTATCAGATTGAATACAAAAGAGTGGACATAAAAAATGTAAGTAATATTTTTACTCTATTAGTATAAGTAAATGCACTACGAGCGAGCGTGTTTTCGATGCAGCTTTCGAGAAAAAAAAAACTGCAAACTGATTATATCATCTAGTTATATCTATTATACAGAGATTTAATTAATTATAATTAAAAATTTGAATTATTTATGCTGACTGTATTGCCATGATCTAAATATAATGTTGTTCTGTACAGATAAAATCAATGATAATATGCGTTACAAGACGTGAGTTCACCAAGAGGGATAATTCGTACATTTTAAAAGACCTTTCTGCTGGAAATTATTCTGTAAAAGTGCGAGCTACGAGTTTAGCCGGAAACGGCGCATACACCGAAGTGAAATATTTTTATATTCCGGAATCTGGCACGATCAGTAAATTTCAGATTATCCTATTTTCAATATTGGGCTGTGTCCTACTCATTCCTATGACATGGATAGCACACTGCATATATAAGAAAAAATCAATGCGGAATGTGCCTAGCATGAGGCTTATCGCGACGGTGAATCCAGAATACGTGAGCACGAGTTACGTGCCGGACGAATGGGAAGTGCCGAGAAAGAAAATTCAATTGTTGCGAGAATTGGGAAACGGCTCTTTCGGCATGGTGTATGAAGGAATAGCCAAGGACGTAAAAGGCAAATCGGAAGTACAGTGCGCCGTGAAAACTGTAAATGAAAACGCAACCGACCGCGAACGAATAGAGTTCCTTAACGAAGCGTCCGTTATGAAGTAAGATTAATTTTGTTTCCTTTTGTGATCGCAATGATTCTCTTTGGATATTGATTCGTTATATTTTCTCGTTTTGCAGGGCTTTTCATACCCATCACGTGGTCAAATTACTGGGTGTGGTATCGCAGGGCCAACCTACATTGGTAGTTATGGAGTTGATGGTGAACGGCGATCTGAAAACGTACTTGAGAAGCCACCGACCAGACGTTTGCGAGAACTCCAAGACACCTCCAACGTTGAGAGACATTTTGCAAATGGCGATTGAGATTGCGGACGGCATGTCTTATCTCTCTGCGAAGAAATTTGTCCATAGAGATTTGGCCGCTCGCAATTGTATGGTGGATGACAAACTGACCGTGAAGATTGGTGATTTTGGCATGACGAGAGACATATACGAAACTGATTACTACAGAAAAGGATCCAAGGGGCTTTTACCTGTCAGATGGATGGCACCGGAAAGTTTAAAAGATGGCGTATTCACCAGCTTTTCTGACGTTTGGAGCTACGGAGTCGTTCTGTGGGAAATGGTAACGCTAGCTTCGCAGCCGTATCAAGGCTTGTCAAACGATCAGGTAAATATACAAGTTGCTGCAATTAAATGTATACGATATATTCTCTGGTTGCGTTATACGTTTCTCTGAATTATCGCGATGTCCTTTGTAGGTATTGCGCTATGTGATTGAAGGAGGGGTTATGGAACGACCGGAAAATTGTCCTGACACGCTATATAACTTAATGTGGCGTACCTGGAATCATAGATCCTCGAAAAGACCTACCTTTATAGACATTGAGACGCAGTTATTGCAAGAGATGAATATAGAAAACTTTGAAAAAATTAGCTTTTTCCACAGCCCGGAAGGAATCGAAGCTCGAAATCAAAATAGTTCACATTCACCGCAAAATGAGTAAGAATATTATCCCGTATTGTTTAATAATACTCGCTTAGCATTTCGCTTGTGCATTTGAATAATGAAAAATGAAATTATTCAATTTCCGCAGAGATTTAGAAATGGTTGCTCTACAAGACCTGCGGGAGGAAGAACTCGAGGGAGGAGAGGATTCGCCACTGCGTCAAGACTTTGGTGACTTTGCAAGTTTTGAGCCTTGCAATATTAAAAATACTTTAAGTCCACGATACGGAATAAATTCATACGGTGAAACTTCTAATGCTACTTCCAATTTCCATGACATGAACTCTTCAGAAGTACCTAAAGCTGGATTTGACGAATTTGGTGGCATATCCGGAGATTCGCTAGTATCTAGTAAGGACACATTGAACTCGCCTTACGTAGAAGGTAGCCTTAAATCAGTCAGGAGTTCGCCTTTTATATATAAGAAAAGCACATCCCGCAGTAACATAAGTCAAGCGTCTTTGGGAAAGTCTGTGAGTCCGCAAGGTTTAGTCAGGCAAAACTTTCTCGACAGCCCAAATTCGTCTAAGCCTCAAAGTGATCCCGATTACGAAAATAGTCCCGAAATAATGTCGGGTCTCGAAAAGAAGATTAGTCCGTTGCACATAGAGTTTGCATCTATGGACGCTACAGACATTGAGATTAACGGTGACAAAAAGGACAGCAAGTACACGGCTGATTACGTGAACAAACCGGAAACGTTGAATAACGGTTACATTGGTAATACAACCACGTAGTTTCAATAATTCTCTCTATCAGCATCCGCGGTGTGAAACAAATCGTATATACGATAATTCGAAATTATATTCTTTGGGACGAATCGATATATTCCAACAAAAAGGCAGTGTCTGTGCCAAATTTTTGAGCATACTGGATTAGAGTTTTGAACGGATCACATTTGAGCTATGTTTTATATACATGAGAGGAGGATGTTAGTGTTCTAGACTAACGTAAGTTATACTTGTAAGTGTATATTTTAAGTGTCTAGACGTAACCAAGAGTGCAGGTCCTAACAAACCAGTGGAGTTTTCTCATACGGGTGTTACCATGTCTTAATTCCGTCTCTGTAAATGTAATTAACATCGCTACGCGTGTACAGCTAATTACATGTTTGTTGTGCTGCGATGCATGTTGGAAAACGGATAGCGGATATATTTATATCAGATACTGTCTTTTTGAAGTTATCGCTGTAATATACGTTAATATAGAGAATTTAGCTTACTGAAGATCCGTTATCATGGAGTTAGAAACAGCTGCGGTTCAAACCAAACGTCTCTCCTGCAAAATTGGGCTGACATGAAAAACATGCCAAGATATACCTGTCAGATGCATGATGTCCGTTGACAAACACGTGGCAGTCCCTCTTCCCATTAACTCTCTAGTGTGTAAGCGCGTATCAAAGAATTAAGCAGGTATTCATTACTTGTACCATAGATTTCCTCTTCAATTTTCAGTCGCAAAGTACGCTAATTTTTATTATAAGTAATCATATATTTAGCACATCGATTTGCTTTCCCAACGTTTACAGTAAGTTTAGTAAACCAAAGTGGCAATTAGGTCGACTACCGCGTTGGTACGACATTTTGTTCACAGCAAAGAGACCACATTTTATAAATTTTGTGAATTATGCCTAGTCGCCACTTTGCACGATTTTAGGCTTTGAATACTATAATAACAGATTCAATATTTGTTGGAAGATATATATTTGTGGAGGGTGGTTCAGAATAAGTGTATCGACTTAGCAAGTATATATCGCGTTCCTTTAATTTATAAATTTCTATTATATTTATATTTTCTACGTTGTTTTAACGTTTTTGACTTCATTGTATCAACTGATTCAAGAACTCTGAATCCACCAATTACTCGACGTGTATGGCAGGAGAATTAGAGAGTAAGGACCTTTTCAAGAAAGTCAAATTTTCAGTAGTGAATGTTTGGTTGATAAGCGTTTGCGATATAGTCTGCAAAGAGTTTGTAATCCCAAGTAATTATTTTAATACTTTTATTGTAATTATAGTAAAATCTTAAACGAAAACAATATTAGTCTCTAGTCTTTATACACGAAATTAATATTGTTACATTTTAATTTCGAAACTATCATGATCAAATGTTATGCTAGCGATATTAATTTGAATGGCGCCCTACTCTCGTTTCTTATTCCGTGTATTTAGATAATCTAACGAAAATAGAAATTCAACAAAGAGTATAAAGCAAAACTGTACTGTGTGTTTAAAAAGTTTCAGGATTGAGTACATTTTTCTAACGATCATAACGTGCAGAAAGACACTTAATTTAATGTTTATTTGTCTTCGTTTTTATTGAATTCAAATAGCGCATTAAATTAAATATTGTATTTTGCGAACAAATAATTAGTTTTTTTCAAAAAATTTGTTCAATTATCGTTGTTTTAGTTCTGAAATGTTTTCAACATACCTTGCTCATACGATATAAGCTATGTGTTTACTATTTCGTGGAGCTGGCACATGAAATCGCGCTTCGCCTCTCTGATATCTCTTAAGGAGTCATATCTCTCACTACTTATTAATATCACTTTTATAAAGATTTATCGTGCAATTTACAGTATCATAAATTTACAGGCTCTACATCGTGCAATAGAATCAACCGCTGCTTACGCTTTATAAGCGAATATAGCAACTCATAGTATCGCTTACATACAATATCGCCCTTAATCCGTCATGCAGTGATTTCTGCGTCGCTCCACGAAATAAATGATGAAATTCAGAGGCATACATCGTGTTTTTTAGTAGAAACGAGAGACCGTAGACTGTCTTAGAGCCCAGTGAGAAACAAGATTGATGACGGACAAAAAGTTGAACCCTGGTGTAATCAATGCAGTCGCGAGACAAATAATAATCGGTCGAATCCTAATGGAATGAGCTAAGGAAACAATTGTAATACGAGCAACGCAACGCGATGCAATTGAGACTACACATAAACGAGCCTGTAACACAAGACTGATTAGCTAATCCTACTATACATCCGTAATCTCTCAGTAAGTTAAAGATACAAGACACAAAATGGTAGAAGTTTCATATCCCCTAACACCTCGATTGGTTTACTTCATTTATTGTTCTCGCCGTGCATCCACTTGACGATACATTGCGCAGTTCATTTCGAGATTTCTTAATTATATGCGATTCATGGTTGTTTCTCGTTCCTACGACGTCGCGCACATATCGTTGTGTCACTTTGGTTCCCCTGCTTGTCGGAACAGGTGTTAAGTATATGGGGTTGTCTGTTTCTGAACGAGAATCTGTGTTTAATGTTGACGTTTTTATATAATTCGGAGGGATGCATTTTCTTGAAATTATTCAACCTTTGTCCATTTAGACGATTAAGGCTCAAATCAGACTTCTCTCAAAATAAAACGGTAGGCCCTGTTATCCATTTACATTGTTATTTTATTTGATTAAACTTTATTACTTAAACGTGTAGTTCGCGCAAATTTTTCTCCCCGGAAAAATAACCGTTTGAAAATTGACTTTAGATTGATCAAAATATTTTTTAACGGAGTAATACATTAATCTCAAGATACCCTATATATCAACGACTAAAGTACCAGTGACCTAATAGCAAGTACCTAAACGCTATTCGAAATATTTATATATATTATACGTTGGATAAGTCGCGCGATATCGCAGGTGTACAGACGTGTAAGACAATGTCAAAAGTATAAGAGAAGAAATTTATGTAAGTTGCAGGAAAGATACAAATCTTCTAGGACATGCCGTCGCTATCTTTAATGCTGTTTTTCGCTCTCTCTTTCTTTGAAGTGTTCAATATTTCATCCTTTTTTTTCTATTCTTAGCAGCTCTAGATTAACGATCACGCGATTATTCGTTCCCATTTTCAGATGTCCAAAAATTCTGTTCACTAGCGAAGTGCCAAGCTAAGCTATACTTATTTATTGAAAAGTTGTTATTCTTCTGACTGAGAGCACCGATTGTATATCGTAACAGCTTGAACTCTTGACCGAATAATCGGACTACATCGCGATCGTGTACTTATAGCCTTGGATCCATACCAAAACCATTTTTTGCCCCTCGCTACTCTGCCGGGTTCATTTAACGTATAAATATTTGTGTTTTTTTTTCTGTTTAGATTAAACTTTTTCGGAAGAAATTTAATGCGTTCCAGAAGGCGGTAAAAACAAGGGTATACACGATAAAGAAGCACGATTGATGACAGATATACCATTGATCGCCACGGCAAATGTATCATAATAATAAGCCTCGCGCTCGTATTCTGAAGTATTTAATGTAATAACGAATGAAAGCAGTTAACGCTTAGACCACATGTACATGTACTACATATGAAGTAAATATGGTAAGTAAGATTAACACGAAAATGTTTCCTATACGACCGCGAGTCTCGGTATCATAAGAACGGCGTGCGATCGTGCTAATTTAGGCCTATAGTTCGATAGCTCTGTAATATAATAATCTAGGATTAAGATAGTACGTAAACAGTGTCTGGAAATTGTATAACTGTAAAATGCAGAGATGTGCCTGTTGACGCGCATATTGAGCGATTTAATAAATGTGTGACTCGATATATTCACTTGAACATACGTAAATTGTGTAAGACGGTGGTTTAAGGATGTAAGCCAATGCGCCGATATCAATGTACATCTGTATCAATGATGAAAAAATGTTTGAAGAATATCGGACATAACGCAGAAGAACCGCATTTTTCTTTCGTTGTAGAAATTAAGTGAAGTGCTGCATACTCTGACCGCGTCCGTGCGTGAATAATTAGTCTCCCGGTGTTTGTTTTTTCCTCGACTGAAGCATAACTATTCATGTCGAAACGTCGAGGAGGCATATTGACATAGGATTACTCCATCTCGATCCGCAATTTTTTTTGTATTTATTCTGTAAATGAAGCTAATTTAGAGCGCAATCGCAGCTCGAGAAACTATGAGTCGATAACTTAATGGACTTTTTTGCATTTTAGCAAATATATGAGTATTGCGGTGACTCAATTCTTTTTGCAACTGATATCACGCCCTTCATACTTTGAGATTATTATCAATTTTTGGACATATGTTGATTTTAGGAGGTCTTAATCGATATTTTGGTTATTAATTTTTTGTTACGGATTAATCTTTAGCGCCTATATTTAAATAAAAGAATCTTCCAGAATGAAACAAGGCTCTGATTATGAAATTACTTCTGTCTTATGATGAAAATGACTTTGATTATAGTGTCGTGTCAGCTTTCAGATTTTCGTTCGAATATTAAACTCTGTTCGCAAATAGTTCCTTTCTTTACTGTTTCTACATTTACATGTAGCTGAGATCTCTATTTCTTCTATCGTGTGTATTGCATAGCATACGTGTATCATTATATACTCATATATATATAACAAAAAAATATGTTCTACCATTCAATCCACACACATTAACTACTTTTTACTTTACAATAGAAGTTACTTCCAACTACATAACTGCTCAATAGATTGCTCAAGTTCTATAACGATTTAACAATAAGATAGCACCATAAAACAAGTAACGAATCACGCACCAATATTTTACATCACGTTGCATAAAAATATAAGGAATCCGAGAGTCTTCAAATTATTACTGAATTTCAGAATAATTAATCTAAGTAACATTTTTATGAATTTGCAAATGTTTTAATGGTTTATTTTACGCTTTGGCAGCTTATAATTTATAGACAACGATTTAACTGTTGGCAAAAATCGAAAAAATATCTTCCGTTTTTATATACATTGCTATAAAAATCGATTTCTTTTATTAGAATTGCACATATTTGAGCGACGTCCAGTTGTTCCTATCGTAAGGACATCGATGCTATTTTTATCAGACTGTGTTATACAGCAGCCCGTATTTATCGTTAATTGTACGTGTTTTCTGTGCTTATCGCAGCTATCACTCATATGCACTTATTTAAATAATAAATATTGTTTCAGCGCTCATACGTAGTACCGTAACAATATATTACGTAGATTTATTTTTTACGGTTATGTAGAGAAAACGAAACGTTCAGGAATATTTCGTTTGTCCAAACGATGATCGATGCTGCCTTATTCAAACTGCTAAGAATAAATAAAGTCACCAATAACGCAACGAATGCTCAAACGATTAATTTGCAATTTGCAAATTACGAATGTAATAGAAGCAAAGTTGTCTTGTCAATTTACGATCAGCTGTGATACAGATGTGCAAAGAGAATAAATCGGTAAATTTTTTCTCTTTTTCGCTAGATGCTTCTCAGCGACGTTTTGTGCACCGGTTCAGCCTCCAAATGTTTGTAAATAGCGCTTCGACTAATTTACAACAAAGCCGTGAGCAAATGTACGAATTGCACGCGAGACTGTATGACTTTAGGCTATGAGATGTGGATGTATAATAGTTTGATGTAATAATGGACAGAAGTGTGTTTATAGTACGTTAAATAAAATCAATACATATTATTTAACAGGATACGTATCCATTCGTACGCAGAGCTTCCTTTAACGAAGATCGCGAATGATGAAGAAAAGAGTAGAGAAGCACTCGCGTCATTTCTTTTCAAAAATATATGTCGAAAAATGTTTTTATCGCTGCTGTCGAGCTCTGTAAATTCGAATGTATGCTAGTTCTTTGTCGCAGTCATTAAATGGATTGAATAGCCTCCGATATACCGTTGCGCGTTATTCTCTCGTAAACAGGAGGATGCGAAATTAAAGATTAGCCTAACGTCTTTTCATACGTAACGCTGCGATGATATATGAGCCGCTTACGATAAGGTGGTGTATAATCTGGTTTTGAAATGCAGAATTTCATGAGAATTAATTATATCTAATGTTAATGATAAATCGTCATTATTTATTATGTATATCAATTGATACAAAGCTTATATCAATTAATATAAACTCACATCGAACGATTTTGATACTGTTTTCAAAACAAATAGATTTACATCACTTTGAAAATAAATACGAAAATGAATAATATACTTACATCCTCTTTTGAGAAAAGCGTTTAAATATCATGTGCCGCGAGGGCAAACTATTTTCTTACAGATTCTTTTGGACGATGCACAAATTAGTATATTTCCTTCCTAAGTTTAAAGCAAACGTTACTGCCGTGATAAGAAGATGAAGCCTACAAAAAGAAAAAAAAAGAAATACGCTACGAAAAGAACATAAGCTCACTTTAAAAGACATCAATACTTCGGAATTGAATACTTATCTCGCGAGAAATGTGTCATCTTCAATTTTTTGTTATTTGCTTCTAACATGATGTACTACTTAATCAATTTATATTAGGCGTATGCAAGAGTTTTAGTCTTTTCACTGCTTTGGAAAAATTATTCGGAATTGAAATATATTCCCTCTTTTAGTGGTTTTGACGTTGAGATTTTCGAAATGTCGTGTGGCATGAGAGAACACAACTTTACAAATCAGTCGTGAATCTATATCATAAGACTAAAGATAAACTCCGACGAGCATCTATGTACTCGACACTGCCTTCGGTATGAATTCCAACAAAAAAAAAAAACTGTCTCAAACATTCCACTCGATTTGTAATAATACTGGCAAAGATGTTGTCTTAGGATACTTGTAAATATTGATTTAAACGTTTTGAAAGTGGCAATTTTGACGCCAGTGAATTATACTCTGACGGATCGCAGGTGAAAAGGAATGATAACTTGTAAAAATAATTGGATATAGACACAACGCGGACATTAGAGGAACTCGCAAAATTGCTTGAAAGTGATAAGGAAACCTCCAAACAATTAGAAGATACGGGAATGATCCAGAAGTTCGGACACGAGGTGCCGCGTAAACTCTCTGCAACCGTCATGACACAGCGATTCAACACACGCATCTCACTGCTAAGCAACGAAGAAAGGACTTGTTGTGGAATGTTTTAACGGATGGTTATACACGGATTACGTAAAGACCAAGCAACAATAACGGCGAAACAAAATCATTTGTACAAAGTTTTTTCTGGTGGGAAATGAGTTGTGGAAATTATTAATTATTTGCACAATTTATTCGCATATATCCCAGCAGAAAAATTATCATTTATTAATTATTATTCTTTAGTCTTTAGAGTCGTGTCTTCTATAGTACGTGATCCATGTATAACCACCCGTTACAACATTCCATAAAAAGTTCTTTTTTCGTTGCTTAGTAAGCAGCGAAATGCATGTGCTGAATCGCTGTGTCATGATGATTGTAGGATAGAGAGTTTACGCGGCACTCGATGTCCGAACTTCTGAATCATTCCCATATCTTCTAATTGTTTGGAAACTGTTTCTTCATCATCAAGCAATTTTGTGAGTTCCTCTAGTGTCCGCGTTGCGTCTTCATTCCATAATTTTTGCAAGTAATTAATCCTTTTTGCTTGCGATCCTTCAAAGTATAAGGGTGTGCTTTTTTTATGATTTTCAACCGGAAATTGTTGTGGTTCCTTCAAATATCTATCAGTACTGCAAACATCAATTAGATTATTTATCCGAAGCAATTGCAAAGGCGTGAAGGTAATCGAAAAGTTGTTTTGCTATAGTTCGCATTGCTCATAAGATTCAAGAGGTAATCTTCAATTTAGGCTGGCAAGTCCTCTCGCAGGCTTGGCTTGGCTGTATATTACTTGTCTCAAATAATTCAAAACAATATTAAAGAACACCGTTTTCGAGATTAATAAGATTGTATGAAATCGAAAAATAGATGGAATCATTCATCAACTATACATCGTCATCAGTTTTTCGCGATGGAATCAGAGCATTGCCTGAATTGTTGCAGAAGATCACAGACAATAACGGTGAATATTTCGCTGGCTAAATTTTTGTGTGTATGTGTGTGTGTGTGTGATGAAGATCGAAGGTTTCGAAAAGTAAAACACTGAAACTCTTGTATACCTAATATATTTGTAAGTTTGCGTGTCACCGTGTAATGTTGTCGAGCATTTTATGGAAATTAAACCATTCGCTATACGGTGATACATGACGGCAAATTATTGATGTTTTAGTGAGAACGCTAATGAATTAATAAGGCTTCTTTTTAGTTGATTAGAGATAACATTTATTCCGTTTGTCGTGCACTAATGGTGCGACGATTTCTGGTTTTTTTTTTTTTTTTTTTTAATTCACTTGCGAATGTGTAAGGGATAAATGATAATAAAAATTTGTATGGATGACGAATATAAAAATTGAGATGATTGCATCTCGCAATTTGTAACAAAAGCTGATAATTGGCAACAACATAGCCGCCGCTACAGAATAGTCGTAGATGTAATTTTAATTTGTAATTTCGTCATGTTTTGTGTATAAGACAACCGCGCTGTGGGCAAGGATGACGATCCCTCATTTGTCATTGTATCTTTTTAGCTGTATTAATGTGCCCTTGCGTGGGCGACGCTTGATAAATTTAGATATGTATATCGGATTGTCTTATTAAAAATTGTATTTACTATTATAATTATATGACACGCGCTATACGCAGAGGAAGAAACAAATTTTATTTACCAAATACCAGATTTTTAATAAAAATCTTTTTGTGAAGGAACTACTGAACATCTGCAGTGAAGCCCCATTACACCTTATCGCGTCTATCGCGTCTGCAGAATAATTCCAGTCTTGTTTGTTTTCCTGTGACGCATGTTTAGATAAATTGATGCCTTGTAAGGGAATAGAAAGTCGATTCCTATCGAGATAAATATTGACATTCACATTCAAACGGAAACTTCCAAGTACTTTATATTTTTAATTATTTGTAAAATATGATTTAGAAAGAATTTTATATCACGATGCTTAAACTTCAATTAAGTTATTATAATGACAAATACTCAATATTTTTTATTTTTTCCTAAAATTATATTATTTAGCATTTTTATATACTGTAAGTTAATTTTGATTTCGAAGAGATTCAGTAAAATAAAGACGTAGAACCGAGTGAAAACGGAAGTTTCGATAACAGCTGCTCTGCTAAATCGTCATCGTTTCGAAGAATAAGTCGTTTGAAGTAAAACCATTTCACAAATCATCATTTTATAACATAAGAAGATGGCATAATCGCAAATAATCGCATTCGATACGATAACTCGTTCATAGAGTATACTATTTCGTACCGATTTGATTTGACATCTTCCAAGGACATGAAAATTCGACTTCTTTATTAACTCGTATTAATTACGACGCTCGCTTTCGCAATGTACTGCAAGAACTTTCGCGCTACAGTATGAAAAATCGATTATACGATTATATCTGCATCTTCGTCCTGCTCGAGATAATACCACCGCCGATCTGCTATGCGAAAGTCATCAACGATGCGTACAGGTATTAGCAGTACGTGATTTTTTTAAACTGCTTTGCATTATCCATTTGTCCTCTCGTGATCCGTTATAGATTCAATAGAATTTTGTTTTTATTATTGTTTCTATTGTATTCTATCCTTTGCAAATATTCTTTGATATTTTACGTTACTCACACACACAAAATAACAAATTAATCAACTCAATTTTAGAACAAAGCGGAATATTTCCGTTTTTGAAATACCACAATCGAAAGAAAACGTCAATTATGCAAAAGACTTGCAGGAAGTAAGCTCAAAAATAAAAAAAAAGGATAACAATAATTTCGAAAAAGGCGATAAGTATTTCAAGGAGAAGCACAAGATTTCAAAAAGATCTACGAACTCCGACGAAAATACCGATTTCCAACAATCAAACCCTGAAAAACCTATCAATTATGACAATGTAATCGCAATCAATCATCTCAATGCGCAACGCTCAAATGACGACGAATCAGATTACGCAGGAGAAGCGGATGAAGAGATGGCGAAGCAAGAACGCGATAAGGACGATAAGGACGAAGAAACGAGCAGCCTCGTCCGCTTAGCCCGTGACGTAAATGCTGGTCTAGACAAATATACTGATCAGGAACAATCGAGCCTATACGACGATTACGAGGCAAAAGACGTCGCGAAGCGTGGTGTCTTGGGCAGCCCGGAGGATTATGAGGAAGCGGAAGTTGACTCGCCGGGAATAGAAGATGTGGCCGCGATGCAGGAACAAAGGTCAATGACAGACGAGGCCGACAAAAGAGAAGTGCAGAACGATGCCCGGGTGAAGAGAGATCAAGCGATAGCGGAAGCGCCTGATCAATCCAAGTCAATTTCAGACAATCCAGTGAGGTCAGTACAGTCGAAGATCGCGCCAGAGGATTCCTATTTGCATCAAGTTTCTCCTGTCGAATCATTGAATAGTTTTAATGAAGCGTCAGCTCCCAATGACGCATCCAAGATCAAAGAGTTCGGATCGAATGAAGCGATTTCAAAAGCGGGCGATGCTTCGAAGATCGCTGAGCCAGCGAGTATAATTACTTCGTCCAAGGAAGATGAAGCAAACGCGAAATATGAGAAACGCGTAGAGGAGGAGATTCAACGGAAGATTAATGCAATCAAGGAGGAGATTAAACGTGATATCGAGGCGCAAGGGCGCGTACGGGGCATTGAAGAGAACAACGCTAGGTTCGACGAATTGCAGAATCAAGAGGGCGAAGATGAGGAGGGATCGAGTTTTGAAAACGAACCGCTCGAGAAACGCCAGACTGCAGCCAAGAGATCCGTGCGAGAAATCGCCGATATTGCGGCCGCTTCGTCAAAGAGAAACGGCAAGAAACGGTCTTTGAAGAAACAACAACGTAAAAAACCGCAGCGAACTCGAGCCAAAAAAATCGGCAAATCAGATATCTCGAAAAAAAATAAAAATCTGAAGAGACGATCCGTGGTTAATCACGATGAATCCTCGGGGCAAACTCCTTCAAAAGGGCTTTCGAAAAAAAAACGCGAACACGTCAGGCAAACCTTCCTGGTGAGCAACGAACAAGCAAAAAGGAGACGTTCGACGAGTTACGCGTTGCCATCCGGCCCAACGGACGCCAGATCGGAAAATGAATTACTCACGGATCAGGATTCAAATTCTCGTCTCCACACGGACAATAAAATGGTAAGACTTGACAAAAGTTAAGGAACTTGACGTATTGTTAAAAGAAATCAATGAGTTTCGAATGCATATTTAATTTCTAAAAATAAAATAAATGATAAAACTGTCGCAGCTTCAAGCACCTTTATCCGTTGCTAGTGAAGATGAAAATAATGAGGGAGAACGGAGTCCTATTGCAGCAGCCCACTCGAATTCTTTAGCGTCTCTCACCGGAAGCTCGCAGGAATTGAATCCGCGTTTAGCGAAAGAATACAAAGAGGCCTTCGGTGGATTGCAGAGTGAGCCTGGCAGCGCTTTAGCTAGATTCAAACGGATCAAACGCGTGCTTGAAAGTCCCGAGACGGAGAAAATGTGAAATTCTCGATAGTTTTCGGTAAAATGGTCTATTTTATAGGTGGATTAATTTTTTTTAGCGCGTAGTCTTCAGGGTGAAAATATTTCTATATATATATCGCAAGTGAAATTATAATATATGAAAAGTATAACATTATTTTTAAGCTGACATCGCAGTAACGAAGGATTAAGTAATAGGATTAAAGGCGTAGATTTATGTAACGGAATAGACTTCTGCGAAAGCAGAATAATTGCATTTGTAATTAGAGAAAAAAATATATAGCTCTAATAGGATGTAATGCCATCAATCACGAGACACTCGGAGATTGTGAGTCAATTTAATTGTAGCCTAAATGAACGATATATAAATTCTTGACAAAAGTGAATAATTACGTTTTCTACCACTAATTACTTATAAACCTTTTACGTCGGCCGTGTAGCGTTAAAAGATATAAAACGAGTCTAATTGCTTCTCGGACGCTTTTTACATCTTAAAATATTACAAGCTATTTAAAAAACATCTTGCAAAGTAAATTGCACGCCAACATTGCTTACGCGCACAACGATACGCATGCCTTGCGTGCGCGTACATTTCAGTAATTCATTAACTTTATTTTGATAAATTTTAATTTATTAACAGACAATAAAATTCAAATTAGTCAATTTTTAACTTCCGCATAGTACATACTAGAGAAACATTATATACAACAGTGACTGATCGATCGTCGGAAGGCATTACTTATTAATTATTATCGTAGACCAAATGGAGAACCCGAAGAACGCGATACTCTTCAGAATCGCAGCACATAAATCGATGGGACAGTAAAAGTTCACATGCTTTAAAAAAAAGAAGATAAATAAATACTTCAACGTTGGAACGATTAGAAATTGTTCCGTGACTTGGAAGTAGAAGAAAAAATTCATTACACATTCAACTATAGAACATTTGTCCTTCTGTTTCCAAGCTGTACAATATTGATTATTCTGAGATGCGCTAATGCAAAGATATAATACAATGAGGCGACATTATTATTGCTCTATTTAAATTTTATAATAATTTTTATTTCATAAAAAATACAAATTATTGCAATTTTTATTCATTTTCCATTTAAATTCGATTAAAAAAAAAAAAAAAAAAAAAAAAAAAAAAAAAAAAAAAAAAAAAACGTATCGTCACGTTCTCCGGGTTGCTTCTTAGCGCCAATCCAGATAAAGAGATAAAGAGAGAGAGAGGTACCTAGGCAAAGACACAGATGCTTCGTAGAGACGTTCAAGATTTAATTAATAAAGTTATGATTAAACACGAAGAAGACACATAAATCGTTATCGTTTTTTTTTTTTTGTGCGCTTACATTATGGACGCCGGAAACAGAGATGAATGCACCGAATGCCGGCACGTCCGTAATATCCCCGAAGTATACAATTCACCTCTCTCATTTCGTAACACATATATATATATAATATATAATATATAACATATAATATATAATATATTATATATGTCATTCTACTTTACAACAATATAAAACAGTTATTTACATCGACGACTAAAAGGATTCGAGAACGATGAAAGTGTCGAGGAAATTTTAACGTCTAAGTTGAGATATTTTTCTTTTTTTTTCGAATGAGTATGTGCGTGTAGTACGTACGTGTGAATGAATGTGTATGTCTCTTTTATACCCGTGAGTGGTTTCTTCGAGATAAGACGTCGCAAACTGAAAAGAAGAAATCATAAATATCCAAGTAACGTGAAATGAATCGAGACGATTCCTGCGTTCAAACGAGTCTATTTCGTTCGTGAACGAAACTAATATTATGAAATATTATTGATCACACACGACTAAATGTATCTAAGATCGCGACACATAGCGACACGTCACTTGAAACGATACTCCTTTTGAATGCAGACCGACTTCTGCGACGCGTGGTGAAAAATTCTGTGCGCAAGTTGGTCGTGTCACCTCGATCGCTTGTGACGATCTTACAGAAGTTGTACAACGCCCGAGCCGTCCACCGATTGACTGACTGTTAATTAATTAAATTAGAGGGCGCGCATCAGTCTGACGAAAAGGCTCGTTACAGTAAAACTCTCAGGCATCGAGCTCAACTTCCGCAGCCGTGGCTCACTGTGCTCTTTTATTCGCCGCTACGATATACGAGATCGGAAATTAATAAAAAGGTAAACGAGAATAAATATTTAGAGAGAGAATGTTTTAATAATTTTAATCGCTATACGACCTTTGATATTTGCATAAAACTTTCCTCTATACTATGATACCGTGTAGCAAATCATATACAAAGCGAACAAATATTTACATGCGCATGAACGAGTCATAAATACGTGAATGCAACGAACTGCGAGATGCAACATAGATGTAACACATAACCGACACGAGCGAACCACACACGTGGCGAATAACGTGACGGATTTGGCCTGGTATTTAGTGTGTGTCGAAAGAGCTCTTTTCTTTTTTATTTAAAAAAATCGATGTCTGAGAAATGGTGTTCACAATAATATAGTACAACAACGTAACGGTATTACATACATAATATATATATATATAATATTTATATATATATAATATTTATATATAATATTATTTATAATAATAGGTAAATTCTTTACCACAGTGTGTAACATTAGCTATATACAAATATTACAAATTTCTTTTATTAAGCCCTCACGAATCGACGCGATGGATCGATCTAGCGCGAGATTAGGCAGCGACGCTTTTACATCCGCTGCTTATTTTTTTTAATTGCACGTTACAACAGGCTTGCGATCTTATTAATCTTAAGCCAGTCTCTCTTCCCCTCGATGCGATAAAACAGAGGGAGAGAGAGAGCGTGAGAGAGAGAGAGAGAGAGAGAGAGAAAGAGAAAGAAAGAGAGAGAGAAAGAGAGAAAGAGAGATTGTGTTTTTAGAGTGGATAAGATTAGAAAAAAATATTTCCTATTTCGAAAACCTAAAAGGTGGGTGTGAATATTAGAGAGATATAGGAAGAAAGAAAAACAAAAGAAGCACATTAAAATTCATTTCGACTGAGGCTTCAACGTGGCTTTGTATAGCACAGAATAAGAAAGCAGACACAACTTTACAACGTTACATATTTGAAGCTTTGAGGTCTTCCTGAGGATACTTTGGTCATGCTACGTTGAAACATTATTCTACAATCTTTTCGAAATTAGAAAATGTGATGCGATACAAGTTTTATCACACTTTCTATTTTGAAAAATATTTGCCTTTATAAAACTGATTCGTAATGTAATATGAATCGTAATAAAGTGTGAAGTCAATCGCGGGATTACATTTAACATCCTGTCTTTGAATTTCATCGCAAGCTAATCAATTTTATTAAAGAATTACGGGTAATTCGCGTCAATCTGCATCATGCAAATAAAATTTCGTAATATTTTTCATCGATCAATCACAGTCAACAAATATCTTAGAAAAAATGCTGCCATTTGTTTCAACATCGTTCATTGCAACATTACAATTTTTGGCATAAAGAACTTTTCGTGCATTCAATTTTATTTCAGGCGAGTTTGTAAAATTTTATTTGAAGAAAAAGTTATCAAAAGATCAGTATTGATTCCTCTTTTTAATTTTTATGATACATATTACACATAGTACCCGTAATCTTTTACATTTGTGTCAACGTGAATGCCGAAAGCAGTATTTGCTCCGCATGATATATCGAATACGATAGATAATACAATAACAGATATAAACCCGCCTTCTTTTTTTTACTTAAAATTTTATGCTCTTTTTTTATATCCCTCTTTTGTAAACCTATCAATTTTTTACGGTTAAAATGACAATGACAAATTGACGTCACGATCTTGGTTAACATTTAACTTGGTTTAAACCTTATGTTAAACGACCGACGATCATATACATACGTTTATATTGCACGATTATGAGTCGATAGCACGATCTTATAACCTACGACGAATATCTACGCGCTTTTGGCACCTCTTGCATTTGCATATACGCGAGACGAGACTTTGCAAGTAAAAGAGAGAGAGAGAGAGAGCAAACGGGAAGAGAATTTCTGATCTACTACGATAAACTTTTTGGATATAATGACGGTTCAACTCTTGGTCACATTAATCACATTTTAAATATGTAAAGATTATTGTTAAACTTCTTCCCCGTCAAGGTATATTCTCTTTGCAAGCCTTTCGTATAGAGCGTATAAAAAAGTTCTCGTAGCCACGAAGTGCGCGCCGACCGACAGCGCATAACAGCGGTAATGTAAAAAGGGACATTTCCCGTTACGACACTTCGCATTTACCAGAACTTCTTTAGCACCATTTCGCTATATTTAATTAACCCTTGCAGACAGAAGATGATCTATATTTATAAGATATGAATGTGATATCGGTAATAGCGAATTCACTATTTCATTTTATGTCCGTCCAAATTTCAATCTATTTTAATGTAGTGTGAAAGAAGGTGTGTATTGCGTGTGCTGAAGTATATGCACCACTGAATTCAGGCTACACTACATTCCGTACATTCTACCGCGTTTTCCGGCATGTCGTAGCCTGATTCCATAACACTAATCGCCTACATTGTGTTTTTAACTAGAACGAAGAACTTGAATGTTATCGAGAAAGGGTATGGTACGCTACTTATACAATGTGTATAGATATAAGGATCTTCTTGATGTCGTAGTTATCAATTATCTTAATTTCACACTCGATTAAACTATCGAATGCGTATAAAGTATAGTATATTACTTTCAAAAAACAATTGACAACCGCCGAGGGTACACGCATATGACATTTTCTTCCCTACTCCATCATTATCACTGTGCTTAATCTGCGATAAGGAAAGCAATAATATTAATAATTTGCCGAAATTCGAAATTATAATCAACCATTCTTCAGTCATTCTTCAAAATGACAAAAGCGACAATAATCATCGATAATAGGATTGCATATTTGAAAGGTGGAGAAGACTGTTACTCAGAAATTCCTATGCAGTCTTCTCCTTGAGATCGTCTTGGTATTCATTCAGATTTACTTCATTTAAATTTAGCCATTTCATTTTAACTTTATCACGGATTTGATCGTCATATTCAGTGAAGAAAAATCGAGCCCAAGTTCAACAATATACAATCCCCTGCGTTATGTATTTTGATTAACTCATAGTGTATCCCAATACTAGAGCGGCGTTTTGTTATTCACTGCCTGAGTACTGAAAAGTTATAGTTTTACATACGTATATGTATAATTCAGTACTGACGATGAATGACGAAAATGCGGCCTAAAAGAGTAAGAGGAAACAATAACTAATCGACTACATAGACTACTAGGTACCACTAACGTAAATGTTTATGATCGTAAGCTGCTCGCAAGGATATAATGAGGAAAAGGAAACATAAAAATCTAGATTGCTGCTGGCGTGTACCGCCGATAGGCATCTCCCTCCTCTCTCACTTCTATGTCTTTATGCGTTTTTAAATGCTCCTTGTTGAGGAGCATAATCGATCGTTTTCTCTAATTTTAAATTGGCCTAAACAGTAGATTACTTCGCTATAATTACATTATGATAAAAGCATGTATAAATCAGTAAACATTTTCTTTTGTGCTTCTTAGAGATCATACATGATACAATGTACAAAGTAGTGTAAAATAAAAAAAGGGTTAATAAAGATTTATATTACTTAATCGTCAAATAACGGTTTATCACGAGCGGGAGACAACTTTCATTGATCACTGACTTGGTTTCCAGAAAATACCACGTGACATTTCGGAGGCTAATGTGTACTTCCATTGTAATTTCCAAACGTTACATTGAAAAACAATACGCACGTATTATGCACGAGTCGTAAGGTAAAAAAAAAAAATGCGCGATAGAACACGAGACGAAAGATATATTCATATAAATCTAGATAAATGTATGCGCTGTAAATAAAATTTATAAATATTTATACACACACATTTTCCCTGCAAATCTGCCAGTGTCCAAGAAGTGGTACCCATATGTCAAAGTGTCTTAAGAATTAATCGCGATATCAGGATAGAATTTATTCTATCCTACGCAATAGTCGATCGGGTGTTGGTAAATGAATAAAATCTCTTCCCTTAAAATCGAACTAATCTAAATCTAACCTAAAGCGGGCTTCGGCGCTGGAATCCGATATGACCATCGTAGGGTCAGCGAGCATTTGTAGACCATCCATGTCGATCGGACCGAGGCCCTGTCTGAGGACGTCGTCCGACGGGAATATTCCCGGGTCAAAGTCACCCATCATTGCTGTTCCGAGGTCTCTCACGAATTCTGGATCGTCCGCACCAGAGAAGTCTGCAACAGTATTAATCGGGGATTTTTCGCCCATCAAATTGTTTCAGATTACACGCAGAATTTAAAGTCGAAATAAATCGCACACAAATTGTGAAGCCGTATACAAACTGCGTATCGATATAACAGTGTCCTTTTATAACGCAGCATTTTTATGTGATACCATGGATATATATACGTTATAACAAAAACTATGTTTAAAATGTCATCGCGCAAAAATGGAAATAAAACAATTTGTCCGGAGGCGGATAAAACAAGTAAGGTATTTTTTGTTTCAAGAATTTCTTGCCGCGAGACGTAATTAAAAATTTTATCATCCGTGCGGAAATACCTGTGAGAATGATCGTGGGTGTGTTTGGAGTTTGTGGTGTGAGCTGTTGGTTAGCGGTGTTCGTCGTCGTCGCGGGTTGGTACGCCATTTGTGGACTCGTACTGAAGTATCCCGCGTCTCCACCGCCTAATTCGCCACCGACATTAATCACGTCGTTCTGAGGAACAAACGATGCGAAGAATTCAATGGACGGAGAGGCAAAAGTGCAGAGACATGCACACATTTTACTAAGCATTTCATGGTTTCTTCTACGGACGATACTTTTTAAAGCAATTTGTAAGACACATTGAGTTTCTTACTTGTGTATAATTCGTGGTGTGGTTCGGTGATCCGATATACGATCCGATAGTGTTCGCCTGCACCGGCGTGTCCATCTGAAGTGAAAAAAAAGAAGAAAGAAGTTGAAGGATGAGCCTCTCGCATTATTAAAAAGCCTCGCAAGGATTACCGCCGTTGCAATCTAATCTGATTCATCTTTAAGTGAGCGCGACGTTGATTCATCTCGCGTGCAACGCGCGTCTCCCGCCCCAAATGCTTTTTATAGAATGATCCGCGAGGGACACCACGCACGGGAGGGAAAACAGCGGAAGAGGAGTATAAAGGGAGAAATAAGTACGACCGAACCATAAACACTCGTTCGCTCGTACCCGTCGTTCGCCCAAAGATTGGCCGTTATTTTTCTTCGATTTTCGAATCCATTTACGATTCGACTTCCGGCTGCTTCATGTCGCTTAAATAGCTTCTGATAAATGAAATTCCATTTCCGTTTAGTATTATATGTGTCAGCATCCGTAAGGAAGTTATCGTTTCGTCCCACACGTCTGTTATTTGACGTAAAAAAATTTCTTCATATTTACTGCCTATAGTTTACTCTGAAATTCATCATTTTTCTTCTGCAAAACTAAACTACTGGACACATAGATATACCATGGTATTCGGGTATTGGAAAAGAATTCCGAATGATAGTTCGACCGTGTGATTCGAGTGACACTTTCTATCTTGTAAAATATCATCTTTCCCATTCCTCTGTTAAGCCGATGGATCGGCGTGTAGCCGTCCGTGCAATATCAAATGCCATGGTAACGGCCACTTGTGCGTATAACCGCGCGGGAATGAAAAGGGGGTATCGTTAAGGCCCAACGCGATAAAACTAGTCCCGCTGAAGCGCAGCACGCACGATGGTAACTTTACTATGTGCATACGTAACAACGCGTTTTCCGAGCTTGCGGTATATCAATGAGAAATACGCCACGAAATATACGCGGCTTATTATTAGCCCTCGTATCTCTCAAACGCATTTTACAAAAGCCACAACTCTACACATTTTTCTCTCGCTTATAATTTTAACATTTACCCTCCATGCGGTAATGTTTTAAACATCAGTATACGGCACGATATTTCAGCGCGAGTAATATTTTGCCTTCATCTGCAAATATTTTACTTGAGATCTGATATTCTTCCCTCGCCGCACGTGCAAGCGAGTTTCACGCACGAGAATACATTTGACGTGTACATATGCAATACCTCTGCTATTTGAAAGCGCCGCGTGAAAGGAACGGCACTTGAATTCGCAGTTTCTTTTTTTTTTCCCCTGACACTAGTTAAACAGCACGCAAAATGCAGTATATTTCCGTGTATTTACATTGAATTTTTAACAATCGTATGACATTATTTATAGGTCTTGCAGAGGAGGATATACAACATAACACTGGGCGTACTCCTAGTATTGAATTTGCAAATAAAAATGTTTCAACGAATGGCGATATTTCACCTCTATCTGCGTGGTCCAGGTGCAACCGAGTTCCATCAGCTGCTGCGCGAATTTGGGCCACTCCTGACGAATGCAGGCAACAGATAAACAACAAGACTTAAGATATAAGTCTAGAGGCAATATAATCAAACGTAATTAGCCGTAACTAGTCATCATGCTATCAAGTATCGCTTGATAATTAACCGTCTTTTACAGTCGTTTCGATAAAGACCCATTTATCAGATTGAATATTTTCGGCGCGATCGTAAGTAATTACGATTATAATTTCGTATCAGATGCATCGTTAAACGAAGAGAAAAGAATGAAAATTTTAATTTGAAGTCTTTGAAAAACAAAACGTTTGACGATGTAACCGAGTAGAATATCAAGCGACTCGAGTAGAATAATTTATACAAATCATTCGCATGGAATAATTCATCGCGTAACATTAATTATAGCTTTGAAGGTCAAACCGCCTGAAGAGGAATGCATATAATATACCATATGTATTAAAATTCACAGAATCAATCAACTGGTACAGTGATTCTAAAAACGAGTATTCCGCGCAAAAACTCGTTATCAATGCATTAAAATATCTAAATGAAGAGAATTAAATTTAAACAAAGTTTATTACAAAATTAAATCTAAAATTGTGAAGCTCATTAAAATAAAACGAAATTATTTCGTACAACATTATTTATGTTCTTATCAAAATTCTCATTAACATCGTTGCTTCGTGTTTGCATTCATTTCGCTTTTGATTCCTTGTTATTCATTAAATACAAACAGTTCAGCATCACATACTTACCAGTCCCTTTGACATGCATAAAAAAAGATTGAGCGCCAATTAGGATCCAGTATCCTTTAATTTATTATAATTGATGGATTGTTCATTTACGTAATCAAAATTGCCAGATGATCGAATTCACATCGGAATCATGTTCAATGTTCGTATCATTGCGCAAAAAATTTCAACGGAATGAAAAAAGTGTATTGCGACAGACTGTCTTTGAAAAAAAATCAATGTCGTTGCTTTTATCAATATTTAAATAAAACACACGAGTAGGATTATGCGCGTGTATACCTATTATAAACGTCGCAATGCAACGCGTTCTTTATACAAGTCCGAATGCAATTATGCGTTGAAGAACCGTGTAAAACGTGCAGTGCGTCTTACGTTCCAACTGCGAGAACTGTCGATCCAGAAAAGTAAATTCTAGCGATAGCAAGGATTCGCAAATCTCGAGCGTCGGAAATTTCGGAACGACTGTTTTTGAAGGCAGGCAACCCAGAAAAGATTGGAAATTATTGTATCTCCCTCTTCTAAGATAAAGTTTCGATGTCAAAGATATAACGCTTGATTGGACAGCTGTCAGTGCGTCAATCGAAGGGCGAATATCTCCGACAGTTTGGAAAAGAAATAAAACTTTTTTCCGAAGAAATCATCAAGAAGAAGCCAGTTAATATTTTATTTACTAAAATATCGCTGTAGGATATTTTCGGAAATGTTCGTCCGTGACGCTCTTCGCAAACTCGAACGCACAAGTCACTCCTTTTTCAGTCATGCTTAAGAATGAATAATTCACGTACCATTGTAAACTGCTCGAAGTCCTGCTGAAGGGCTGCAGCTTGCGCCTGATTGATGAAATAAGTATTCTGATCGATAGCATCGGATGTCAAGCTGGGTGGACCCGGATGTCCTGTAGGACTAGGCGGCGCTGATGGATTATTGCTGTAACTTAAAGGACTTCCCTGAAAGAAGAACATGCGCTGCTTTCAGACTTGTTAGCCACACGGAGCCTGTTGTTATAGACGTGAGAATATATCTTTTCAAAAATATGTCTCTTTTCTCATGAACAAAATTAAATGGTATGTCTTTCACATTTATTATTGTTATTAGTTGTTAGTTATTGCATGACTCTCTTCGAAAATGTGTTGCAATACGATATTTGTAAATATTTGAATTATATTTCTCTAAAACAACTATCAGCTATTAATAATTCATAATGGAAGAGATGATCTCACTTCAACTGTTAGACTAGGCGACGACTGCGGCGACGGCCTGCTCACCGATTGCGTGGACCTGTACGACCCCAACGAATTGAGCTGTTGTGATTGTTGATGCTGCTGTTGCTGCTGCTGCTGCTGCTGCTGCTGCTGCTGCTGCTGCTGCTGAGTCTGTGACGTTTTCTAAATATCGGATATCAAGTAACAAATAGTTATTAGCGATAATCATTTGTAAAATTTATTACAATTCTATTATTTTTCTTTTAAACTATTGATGATTTTTTTCTAAGAGATAAAGGCAAATTTTTTTAGCTCTCCAGCATAACCATTGGAAGAGAATGTAGATCGTTCACATGCAATGTACAAATATTTGCTTCTATCATTTAGCAAAACTATAAAAATTGTCCAAACAACCGATTTCGCCGGCCGACATACTAACTGGACTTTGCGGCGGCACAGGACTGTGCGATTGCTGATAAATGTAGTGGCCAGCAGTCGGACTGTGAGACGTCCCCGTCACTGTCGGCGGCGCCGGTTGCTGCGGATAGCTCTGAAGATCCTGTTGCGAAGTACTTGTGCTGTTTTCCAGTGCCACACCCTGCTTCATACCCATCGCTATTAACGATCGATCGTCGCTTCTTTCGTTTTTCTTTCTCCCACTGTTTTTTCGCGCTTTCGTGTAACTAAATTCGATAACGACGCTACATAGTTGCAGCAGGCCCGCGTAATCGATCTCTATGTGTCGTTGATTACAGTATCGGACTTGCGGAAGCGGTTCGCCGCAACAAGCGAGTTGCCGAATAGGTAGCAAACATTTGAGCTCAATTTCGAAGGCGTGCCATGTGCCTGCTATTTATGAATCCTGCTTCTGGCAGTCGGAGAATAATACTTTGGCATATAGACGGCTTTCGAAAAACGTCTAAAAACTTTATCTACATAAGTATGCACAAAAAAAAAAAAATTTTTTCGTCGAAAAAGAAGTCAATCAAAAATTTATCGGAGCCTAGATACATAAATAAATAACATAAAATGTCTTCTTTTTTTTTTTTTCTCAATCGTTAAAGAAGTGCGATAAAATAAATCTGCTATGCTGTGACGCAACGATGAATTATTCATATGAGCTTACGCGCTAAAATTATCTTTAAATTATCATTGCGCAATGCTTTGCTTTTCCTTCTATTAAATGCAATTATTGCGGTATTATTTTCTGTCCCGCGTTTTCAAGCCCGAGTGCGTTGCGGCGAACCGATATTGCACACGCTACGCGTTAGCATACATACGCTTTGCTATTGATTGTATTTCGAGTTTATCTGCAAGCTCGGTGCTATGTAACAAGCAAAACAGTAAAAATGCTACGGCGTTAACGGCCGTCGCGCGACTAATTGTAAAAGGCAGCAACACAAGCATGTACCGTAGTTACATACGTCGTGAGAACGAGAAACTGGTGTGACTACTAACCTTACACGTGTGAAGAAACCTAGAGTTAACAGGCACTGATAAATGGTTCTGCAAAATAACAAACACAAACAACCACTACAACAAAGGCAAAATAAAAAATAAATAGAAAATTAAGAGAGACGCCGGTAAATTTCGCGCGCAATTTTTGTTTTTGTCCAAATTTTTTTTTTTGGCAGTCATTGAAATGCATCCTAATATTAACAAACATATTAACTACGTCAAAATTGCCGAGTCCTTTTTTGCTCTTTCGTTAAAACTGTGTCGTGTCAGCGACGTAGTTTTCACGAGCGTTTCGCGATTTATATCATTTCGCGTTTGCTATATGGTTTAATGATCAAAATTATCCAGTTAACTTGATAAATGTTATTAAATTCTATATTAATAATATCAGGACGCATTTAGGTCAAGTGCTTTTCATAGCGTGCTGCAAAAGTTTTATTTCGAACTTAACGCTGCATAACTGCGCAACATTATATTCTTGTTACATTTTATGTTAAACATAAATAATTACGCTACAGAAAGGAAAGTCAATATTTAACTACAATCATATTTATTTGAACAATTAGAAGGCATGCCGAAAATTGTTCTTTCACGAAAGATAAAGCCTTTTCTAATTAAAGCAATAACGTTCTCGAATAATATTGAATATCAGCGTGGAAGCGATCCAATTACATGCGAAAATTACTACTAAAGATACTTTTTACATTTAATGAACGTAACATGTGATTCGCTATGTGTAGTGCTTCTCGCGATAGATAATAAATAGTTCTCAAAATTTCTTTTATTTTTTTGACTGCGCAATGCATATCGTTACCTCTTCATCAAATAAACGATCCACTTATACTCTTTTTCCTCAAAGCAGCTGCAATATCTCAAGATTCTGGCGCTACTCTAATCAAGACGAATCTAACATTTAAGAAAGCACAGAAAAGCACAAAGAGTGTTCTTATCATGCAACCATTGCGTCCTAAGTCACATTCTCCAACAAACAAATTATTTTACGGAATCGAGGTCGCCGATCATTTCTCCAAACTGTACGTATTTCTTTTTAAAATTGATTATTCGGTTATATTTTGATCACCTTGAATGCATAATACATAATCGTAACAGTTTCCTGATTACTGTAGTTTTAAATATTCAGCACCACGGAGCGAGCCCTCCTCGATTCCGTAAACTTCAACTAAACAGGTACAAAATATCCGAGCGATCGATGTCGTTAATTAAATTTGTCGAAACATGTCCCGAAGGTATTTATAAAAACTAGTTTTAAATAAGATATACTAATAGCTGCCCCAGAACGCTTCATTCTCGGATATTTCGCAGGTTTTGCAACATTCTACGGCAGCGGTTTTTAATCGAGATCTACGAATTCGTGTGCGAGATGTCAAAATTGACAAAGGCGGAATGTAAATTGTACAAAATATTTATTCAGCTCGTGTCACTCGTGATTAAAAGCCCGCTGCGCCGTAACAGTAGGCTCAATCTACAGTAATATGGGGCCGCGAGGATATTTACTTGGACGCTTGACGGATCCTGTGAAAAGGAGAGCCTACCAGCTTGTGCCAAGCTGGTCGGCGACAGGTTTGTGGGACTGCTCGTTTGAGGACTCTGGAATGCACCAGCGGTTCGACCATTTCAAAAAGAGATTCCCGTTTTCAGTGATAAATCCTACTTGTCTACAGTTTGTTCGTACGCTGCGGTGGGGACGATTTCGCTCGTTGCGAGCGGGAAAAATAAAAAAAAATGTGGAAGCGTCGAAAAAGAAGAGAGTGACGGCGGGAAACGCGATGCGAACGAACAATTTCGATATCGACATCTGCCATTTAACTTCTTTAATCGGATATTCTTTCGTCGGCGGCATCAATTGCAGAACGTTAAAGTTAATTAACCGGTTTCATTCTGCACAATACATAGGCAAATTGCTTACTATCAACAAAAACCGCTCTTTCCAAGAATAAATATATAAATTTTTCATAAATAGTATCAACATTATTAGCTCTAGAGTAAATTTATTAAATCATCCGCCAGTCATATATATAGTTATACATTTAAGCGTTTATATATGATACGTATGATGCCTTATCACCTGATCTTTTCAAAACAAAAATCTGATTCGTTAAAGAATTCGTTAGAATAAATCTGAGACACTTCTGTAATCTAACTGATAAAATATCGAACTTTTATCGCGTGTATCGATCGAATGGATTAAATTACCCATTGAATGGCAATAAGTAACGCTACTTACTTATTTATAGAACCTATCGGCGTTTATTGTGAGTAATAATCAAAATCGTATTTCACGTTTACTTATTTGACACGTGCAAAATCGCTCGAAAAAGAAATATATTTATTAATGCAGGCCAACTAAATGTTATTAACAATACTGTTAACGTTTAAAATATCCTCAGTGTACACTATCATTTTAAGTATATGTTATTTTACAGACATTTTGTCGAGTATCAAAGATAGATAAAAATAATAATAAAAAAAGAGAGAGAGAGAGAATGTCGCTGTAAAAGCGATAAAGATTCGTTCAGAAACGTGCAGCCTCGCGAAAAGTGCGTAATAAAGTCGAAGGGAAAGGAAAAGAGAAAAACGTTATAGTAGGCGTGTGGTATTTGGTCGAACAACTTACGTTGCTGAACGGCGTACTACTCGAATGATCCTCCTGATCCAAAGGAGTGTGAAGAGGTGACGGAAAGTGTACGTTGCTCAAGTCGGGCAACGACCCTGTGTTGTTACCTATCGGTATTTGCTGTCCCGGTGGCTGCGAGCTTGGGTATATACTGAAACAAAAAAGTATCGCAAAAAATTACTAGATTAACTCGCCGTGCTATCAAAGGCAAGTTTCAACGGATGTAATTCCACGATATCGATCGGTCGGTAGAAAAATGCCGAGTGTCATAAAACTGCGAATTAAATTGAAAGAGAAGTATTTTCGGAGCTTTACGCTAAAATAGAAACGGAAATTCTTTTTTAACAGAGCGTCTACATGTATTATCGCTTAATAATACGTACTTAATCCCAGGCACTCTAGGCATTTCGCATGAAGATCTTGGTCGTTCGATGAAACCATGGTGAGAATCTCTGTTGTCGTTTCCGCTTTCGGTTATAACGTGCTGATCTGTTAATTATACAACACAGGATTTGTGAAATTTATGATAATTATTCATGAGATCGTAAATATATTGAAACCATCCGCGTCGGAGCCGTCACTATGATACTTTATATAAAACAATCATTTTGGTACAGCATCTTCCGTTACGGTTGTGCAGAATGCATATGTTTCTCAAACTCGCTATCCGATTTCTCCGAGGCAACGTAATACCGCTTACTAATGTTACTAACATATAACGTTTCACGTTGTGCTTCGTTGTCCACCGCAAGATCACTCTGTAGACTTTCGCGATCTATGTTGGACGCGATCTAATAATAATTTGTAGCTTTTACCCAAAATAAACCATATCATTCCTGCTTCGATATTTTTGCATTATACTGACAATAAGGACAAAATTTTGTTAATAAAAATAATTATAAATATATAAAAAAATTAGTATATTATACGCGCGCGCGAGTGATATAATAATATTAATTCTTATTCACATATAAAAAAGATTGATGCTCGAAGAATTAAAGTAATTTAAAGTAATAATGTAATCGCGAACTTTGTATTTCGTATAAATTAAAAACGTCTTAGTTCGATAAATACAAGATAATCACATACAAACTAAAAAATCTCAGACTTGCAATGCGGAGTTGCAAAAGCTTTCAATATAGACTACGCTTTACGTAGAATTACACCTTAAAGACCAAAGGTTCAAGAGGTCACTCTCTTTGAGAAATTTCGCAGGTAGCTGCGTAATTAATAGAACGGAGTGGCGACGCAATACAAGGTAACGAGGCAATATGGTAATGACAGAATTTCCAAACCGTTTATCGAGACCGACTCAAAGAGACTTCGCAAAGATGGAGTTGTTTTACATAAGATAAACTCATTAATATAGCGGCTGAGCGACGCTGAAAAACTGTATTATTCACACTATCGATTATGCTCGAGTCTCCCAACGACGGGAGAGTGAAAACTCGATTTCGTTCTCGCGCAAAATAAATCATGCCGCGCGCCGTTTACGTCTCGCGTAAATTATTATTAACGTTTAACAAAATGATGTTTACACGTGAAACAACCAGTCTCTCAGCCAGGATATCCTTAATTAATCGTTTTTCCTTTTACAGCAGACTGCGGGCAATTGAAACGAAGCTATAACAGAGTAGTAACACATCTGCGGACGCGTGTAAAAGATTTGACAGAGTTCAGATAAGAACCGCCGGATGTTACTCAATCGTACTGGGTCACATGAACTAAACTCGAATAAACAGTTCCGTTTTTATTTACAAAAGAAACGAACAGATACTACTATCGAGGCATAAATGTTCACAGATAAGAGCGCAGCGAGTGTTTTGATGAAACGCAATATTACGTAAGATCCCGTACACTATCTAAGAAATACACAAACACGGCGGGATTTTTCGTAATGCTACGCGCAGCATCCGTCGTCGGAAGAGAGAAAGCACGGATCGAAGTGTTCGCTATACCACTTCTAAACAGGTTTACATGTAAAGAAATAAAAAGAAAGAGAAAAACCGACATGCGTCGCTACCTCGTCGATGAGGTATGGCGGAGGTCGACTGGCAAGCTTCATTGGCGCTCTGGTGCAGAGCCGAGTCCGAGTTTGTTCTCCGCCAGGTGTCCGGCGGCGGTGGCGACAAGTAAGGCACGCCGCTGTACGGCGACGTGTCGTGCCTCTTCTCCATGGGCCGCGATCGCATCGGGCCTACCATGCTGCGGCTTCGGTTGTCGGTGCGGTACATGGAGTTGTGCTGCATCTCCTCCAGATTGCTGAGCGCCGTCTGCAACAGAAATTTCGCATCGCTTTTTTTAGCCATCTTCGTTGATTTGATACAGTGGCGCGATAATGAGCAAAAATTGCGGCATGAATTAACGGCGATAGTAACGTTTGCAAATCGTGCGATGCCAGGCAGTCAAAGTGCATGCGTATTGCGACTTTTTATTCCGCTAATTCGCTAGAGATTTGCGCCGTTCGCGCAACTAGTTTCTACATGTTAAATCGCGTGCACGTGCTTTTGCGAAATTTCATTCAATTGCGTTGAAATGATTTTAAGATAAATATTTATTGCTTGCGAAAGAGAGAATTGCGAGACTCGTAAACGCTGTCCGTGATGCGACGCGGCCGCGATTCGGCTCGGTTACGTAAAAATGCAGAAGAGGTAATATCGGAGCTTCATCAAGATCGAATAGCAATAATTAACGAGCGGCTGAAAGCTATTTCGCTTAGATAAAATGGAATTCCGGTGAATTTCACTGTTCCGTGTTACGACACGCCTGCGGGGCGTCGTCTTCACGACGACAGATTCTCGCGCACCTTATACGTGAGAGGAAGGGTGTAGAGAGGAGGAATCGTGGTTGAAGGGAAATAATTCACTTCTATCTCCGTGCTACGGTGGCAAAACCCGTTTTCCGAACCCTCGAGCCACCGGCGCCATTCAACCGGTAGCGAAGAATTTTCTCGTTTCACGAATCCCGCCTTATAAAGCGTCTCGTCTATACTTTACCACCCATCGTCGCGCATATTGCCGTCGTCGTTGGTATTATGAGCGGCGATTAAAACGAAGTAGAGAAATTTAATGCAAGTATTTGCGCGATCCGGATGTCCCCCCCCCCCCCCGCCCCGCGTCAAAATCCTACTCGAGTGTTTAATCTGAGAAAATTTATTTCGCGTTTCGCAGTGAGCGAAAAACCTGAGCGCGTTCGCTACAAATTTTATCGAGATCCGATCCGGTATGTTTTCCACCACGGCGGAATTACATATCGTAATCTGCTGAATACATTGCTCGTTATATTTTCCATCGCGGCTATTTTTATCGCGTATTTGATTACCAGGTTGCGAGTAAACAGTTGCAGGCAAACGTTTGCACCGTGCAGCGTCTTTTACGTCGCCTCTCGCCTGTAAGATGTAACGAAGTATGCAGCGAAGGATACAACCGAGAAGCAATATTTCGTTGTTTTATATTTCAAGAGAAGAGAAGGAGCGTTCCACAAATTGGACGTCGCTAACTCGGTCAGATGATACCGCGCTTTCCTTCCAAGAAACTTCTGGTGAAGATTATCCGCGATATTGTAGAGATCTCAATCATCTATTTTAAGGATGAAATTCTCTCTTGAAATTTATCTTCATATTTCTGTACTTATTTCACGACTTCATAGATTTACAATGCAAATGACAAAATTAATGAATGCAATTTAGGACACGAGGCCTGGGATTAGTCGAAATTTCGAGAGAGCTCTTATCGCGGGAAACGCATACTATCAAAAAATAATTTCCTTTTGTTTTATATTCCAGTGAAAGAAAAATATAATACCACCAAGGACGGAGATAAAACGATTTTGTGGAAATTTGAACTTCCTGTCTGCGGCCTGTGATTGCAAACTCAATAAAGAAAACCCTACTCGTTCGCGTCGCGTTGGTCGCCATGTGTCGGATGAACGTGGGTTGCACGACTATTACCTAATATCTGTTGAATTATGCAATAAACACGGAACGTCTCTCCCACGATTATGAGCATTTGTGAACAGGCGCGCGTGTTATCCACTCGTTAATCACAGCATCAGTTTCGAAGCGGAGTATCGACATTATATTATAAATGGATGGGACACGAAACACAATACTTTCTTCGAAATTTATTAATCTGTTTCACCAACTACTGCAATTGTTAATAAATTAAATATAACGAAATATTATGCTTCTTTTGTGCCATTTTATTTTCTCTCTGTGCCTTTCGTATATAAATTTTAAAAAAATTTACAAGCTTACAAACTTATTTTGTTTGTTTGTTGAAAAATGTTTTATTCTCGCTTGCCTAAGCACTATATAGCAATATTTGTATGCAGCGCAACAACTTCCACGTAGTTGGAATGGCCAGTGACGTAACGGCTTAACCACGCGTGCGAACGCGCGGGTGATAATTCTCGTGATAGGTTTTATCGAAATGTCTTTTGAGGAAGCTAGCTCAAACGCCGTGCGATACAAATTTGAACAATCGAATCACCACTTAAGCGCCACGTTTTCTCATTTACATAATATAATATACGGAACGTGTATCGTGGCGTTCGGTGCAAGAATAGTCCCATCGCGATTTTTTTTACACCGCACACACAAGCGATAAACGCGCACGGACGTAGCGTGCGCGCGAGCGCGCACGATGATAGCGTGAATGTTAACATATTCCGTCGTGGTGGACGCCCGCTTCCCGCCGGGCTTTATATAAAGCCTTTGTTGGGATAAAACGCGTCCAGAAATATAAATAACGATGTTATAAGCAGCCACAAAATGCTATTAACTCGTATGATTTATGACGACGATCAGGTTGCGACGTGAATCGATAAAGCGAGCACCAAAGTAGAGTTATTATATTTTAATAGAACTAGCAACAAAAGAGATTCCGAGCATTTCTCGAAGGAGAAAATACGTTTCTTCGCCTTTTGTGAAACGCCTGAAGAGATCATCGCTGCATACTTTACAACGAAGACGAGAAAAAATACAAGTAACAATTTCTATTTCGCGATTGACGATGAAATCTGCTTCCCAGGCGTGTCGGGCACTTCAGAACTCACCGGAAAAGAACCGAAACTTTACTAATTACATCGAAAATCAGCGAAAACGAAGCGATGACTTCGCACGGGTCGACGTCTCCATTCACAACTTTCCCAATGTCAGGGCCGTGGGCGTCGCACGAGACGGCGCGACGCGGCGCATCGACCAAGCCGCGCTCGTTGAAGAAACGTAGCTTCAATTAACGCGAACGCTAACAAAAGACACGTCCGAGTGTCCTCGCAAATTCTCCGCATCAACTCGGCAGTTAAGCGAGGAAAATCAGCCGCCTCCGCGCGGCAAGTCGGTTCCACGCCTATTTAACTCTTTCACTCGACACCGAGAAAGTGTGAGCCGCTTTTCAACGCGCTCTTAGATACTTTGTACAATTTTATTGACTTTCAAATTCCGTTGCTTCTCCGATTGAGAGAAAAGAGCGACCCATTTGAAGACGATGTAGAAATTAAAATCATTCATACATCATCGCGCAGAATTGGCGGTGTTCTCATACATCTTCATCTATCCTTCTGTCAATAAAAGTTTCAATGTACTAGAAAATAGTGGCAATACTTGTCATCGTTACTGTTCCGCGGCGTGGCACGTGCCGACGATCGAGACGGGCGCCGCGGATGCACGCGACAGCGGGCTCTCTCCTCGCTCGCGTCTCTCGACGCGAGGCCAATATTAGTCTCGCGAGAGCAACGTGTGTGCCGCGGCACAAAGCTGCACGATCGATGTATATGCACGCCGCGTTGTCGCCAGCCGATTCCCCCTTGTGTTCCGCATCTCGCCACGAAGAGGCCAGAATGTAATTACTGCGCTATCCATATTCAAGAATGAGATTACCGGAGAACGGGACCCGTCCAAGTAGACGGCGAACACGGCACGTTGCGCCCACAACGTATCGTTATTCATCGGAGCTTCGGCCGCGCGCTGTGCTGCATACCGTGTACACGGCGTCCGTCGCGCAACAACGACGATTTTAAATTTATTCCGATGCTGCGATATGTAAGAACCGAATATGAAAGACTCTTCGATCGCTTTTTCTTTGTCTACCTTGATAATAATAAAAGGCCAAAAATGTACCTTTTTCGAAGATTTACTTAGATCTGCAACAAAATAGCTTATTTGTTTATTCACATGGAAATCAGCCCTGGTCTTCGATCTCTCACCTAAGCGCGTGTACGTGTGTGTGTGTATGTGTCAAACAAGTTTTCTGCGCGGAAAAAACCTCACCGGCTTTCTACTAATCACGTATATTTTTTTACTCGTTTTATTATATCGACTTTCTATTACATAGCTACTTGCGCCTTACAGCTATCGCCCACAGAATATCGTTCATTAACTGTTTTTCTTTTCAACGAGAAATACTGCGTAAATATTACAACAGAAACTATGAAAACATCATAAAATATCACAAAGTTAACTCCATTTAAACGTCCATTTTACGCAAATAATTTTAAAATTTATTTATTATTCACGTATGCATATTTTGCACTTCAAATAATGAATGCAATTCATAACTAATTAATTTTTGTTTTATATTTCAACTCCAATTTAGCAAACAAAAGGAATCGAGCTGGAGTATTTTTAGTCGCAAAATATATCTGTTTTTAGGACAACCTTCCTACTGTTGGATTTTCTTCAGTATTGCGGGAAAAGAACCATTTTCGAAGGCCGTGCACGCGTCGTTACATTAACTTTACGCCTGAACGAAGATAAAAAGCAAAATGCGAAAGGGAAGCTTGGGACGGTACGACTGAATAGGTTTATAACACAATTATTGTCGCCGAAAAATTAGTATCTTGAGTATTGATTTTACGCAGGAAAACAACAGATATACCGGTGCCAAAACAAACGCTGTGCTCCAGGGTGATCTTTTTCCCGAACTTGAACGAACTTGAATTTTGCATTTAAAGCCGCGATACCGCCGTTAAATAAATTCAGCCGGCTTATGTCCTTCGACTTTCACAGATGATATTCAAGGACACCGCGGCCGATCGAACGCCGATGACACTTTCCAGGTTGTAATTTTATCTTCATTTGACCTCTTATGCAAGTCGACCGTCCGATGTCGGATCGCTAACGGTGCAGTGGAATGAGAAATTATGGGACGAGGCAGTACCTCGCGCGAGAATCACGCCGCGTAGAATTTTCTCAACAAGAAAATCAAAGACCTTCGGCATTATCGGACGATATTACGTAATGCGGGATGATCAAACTTTGGGCAGAATTGTGTGA